AAGTTGCTCATCAGTGAAATTTTCTCGGACGTTGTGCTCATTGTGGGAGATGAGAGATTCCCAGTGCATCGGACGGTCATGGCCGCGAGAAGCCCTTATTTTCGGTGAGTTTTCAACGCCTTTTTTTGTTTTTGCGGACGGCGTAATGTACGAGGTGGTACAAAAATTTGTTTTGCCTGTATTGCTTCTAGAAATTTTCAACATGGAAATACGAGCACGTATTCGCTGTTGAATAGCTTATTTAGAAAGAGAATCGATCAAAAAAATAATTTTCAGAAATGGTGGTTGTTTTTTCTGAATATTCCATGACTCAGCATAATTTAGATTCAATTTAATAATATTTTCCATTGTAATTAGATGAAACTGTCCGCATTTTTTTCCTATTTTTAACTGAATGCTGGAAGAAGGTGCTCGCAAAATTCTTCAGGAAAGATCTAGCAAAAGTTAATGAATATTCTTTACAATGAATATTCTTTATAATGAATATTCTTCTCCAGCAAAAGTTAATGAATATTCTATACAATGATGATTAAAACGCACTAGGAGAATAAATTGAAAATGTGCATAATCCTCCTATTTTTAATTTCTTGATCACTCTTTTCAGAGCGTTATTTTTTGGTGGCATGAAGGAGTCCCTCGAATCTGAAGTGGTGCTAAATGACCCACCGGTTGTTGCCTTCAAAGCTATTTTGGCATACATCTACTCTGGGAAGCTCAAGTTCTCTGACATGTCGGAGGAGTCCATTCTAGACACACTGTCCCTTGCTCATCAATACGAGTTTCCATCGTTGGAAGTGTCCATTGCACAATACCTGCAAGCTCTGTTGACAGTTGGAAACGTTTGTCAAATCTACGACTCTGCGTCGTTGTACGGGCAAAAGAAATTGGCGGAGACTTGTTTGCGATTTATGGACAGTTGTGCGGATTTGGTTCTTAAGCACGAAAGCTTTTTGCATCTGAGCCAGGTGAATTTTCAATTTCATCTTCGGAACACGTTTGAAAATTCTGTATTAGAAGTTATTAACCGAAAACTTGGGGAAATTCATTCACGACCGTCTTTGCTTTCTGGAATATCCAGCACGTGTCGCCTAATACTGTACCTAGTAAAACTAAAAATAGCATTTCGTTACCCATATCCCGTGTTTCACTAGAAAAAGAGTACTGTATCTATTATAAAATTTTCGCGAAATTTTTAGGCACTTGTTTCATCTCGTTAAAACCGGTTCTTGGTGCTGATAAAACGCAATTTCAATATTTTATCGTATGAACGATATTGTTTTTTTTTAACGTTAGATTTTGTTTGGCTTTTAATCCAGCAAGAATCATTAGCGTAAAAGTTTCTATCTCAAATATATTTCTTAACAGTCGTATATTTTTGTAATTACCGATAGTGGAGCCTACATTTTCAAATGGACTGTATAATTCATGTGGTGGGAATAAGTATTGGTGTATTATTTCCCCTAAACTTTCCTTCAGTATACTGTAATTTGATTCCTTCCCGTTCAGTGTAATCTTACTTCCAAATAAAACGTTAAAAGGGGAAATGACTTGAGGAACTTCAAACCAAGAACTGGGAGTTTTTGTGTAAAAGTAAAAAAAAAAAAAAAAATAGAATCCCCAAAGAAACGATGCAAAATATTGGTACCTCGTCTTTTCTCAATATTGCAACCTAGCTTATTTCATTAAATTTTCTTTCTT